CTCCTCGAACGACAGTGGGATGTCCACAGTGAAAACCTGAGCCTCCGACGAAGGGACACTGATCCGGGGAACTGGAGGAGGAGACGAGTCTTTCTTCGACATCGTGTCTGCAGATGAGCTCTTGGAAACTCCCGAAAGCCCGCCAGAATCCCTTTCTTTGTCCTCGCCAGACTCGCTTTTCTCCGAGAGTTTAGTCGAGTCGGTCTTATTTTCCTCCTGCGGTGGATCTTCAGCGGGAATTTTGTGGGAATCTTCTTTGTCTTCTTTATCCTCGCCCTCACTTTTCGCTTCCCCCGGAGGTTCTTGGTTCTTCGTAGGATCACCTGCGTTGTCCTTCATGTCTTGAGATCCGTCTGTTAACTCTGAAGGATCATCATGAAGTATTTCCTTTTCCTTCGGCTTATCAGTGTCCTTTTCAGTATCCTTTTCTCCAGATTTGTCTTCTATCTTCCCTTTTTCAGTGTCTTTATTATCCTCTTTTACTCCAGGTACCTCATTTTTCTCCGCTTTATCAGCGTTTCCATCAGTGTCCTTTTCTTCAGATATTTCTTTTTCCTCTTCTTTATTGGCATTTTTCTTATCGGCCTTTTCTTCAGATATTTCTTTTTCCTCTTCTTTATTGGCGCTTTTATTATCGTCCTTTTCTCCAGGAATTCCCTTTTCCTCCACTTTAATACCTGTATTGTCCATGGCTCCTGAAATTTCCTTTTCCTCTTTCGTTTTATTCACGCCTGTATCGTCATTATTCTCTTTAGAAATTTTCTTTTCTTCTAGTTTATCAATATCGGTTTTGTTTCCTTCTGCTTCTGACGTCACCGATTTCTCGTCACCTTGCGGTTCCTCCTGAATTTCTGCTGTGGGGTTTTCAGCAGCTTCAGCGGGTTGAGACGGCGATTCTGCCGATTCTAAAGGTTTCTCCCGCGTTTCATCGTCTGCCGATCGCGTAGGTGCGTCAGGTTGTTTGGTGTCTGTCGGTTGCACATTTTGGTCTGACTTTTTTACGTCTGATTGCAAGGATTTAACAGATTTTTTGGTGTCTGCTGATCCCAGATTAATATGAACAGATTTTTTGGTGTCTGCTGATCCCAGATTAACATGAACAGATTTTTTGGTGTCTGCTGACTGTAAATGCTGAGCGGATTCTTGAGTGCCTTCTGACTCCATAGATACAAGATATTTACGTGCGTTTGCCGATTCCATCGATTTGAGTGATCTTTTAGTCAGCGCCGATTGCACCGAACCTGCTGATTGCAAAGACATAGCGGATTTTTTAACGTCTTCCGATTTCTTGGGTAAATTAGATTTTTCATTGGCTGCTGATTGCAAAGACCTGTCAGATTTCTGGCCAGCTGACTGTAGAGACTTGACAGATCTTTTAGTGTCAGCCGAATGCAAGGGCACGCCGAAGATTTCTGTGTCTACCGATTTCACGCTTTTTATATCCGCATTATTGTGCTTGACGTCGTTTATTTTACGTTTACGCTTGGTAGAAGCAACAGATATTTGGCCTGACGCTGACGACTTGACTGACGGCGTGGCTGACATTCTGGATGAGGGTAAACTATTATTTGTGTCAGTTTTGACTAAAGAATTCCCGTTTTCTTTGGTTGGCTGAGGGATGACTTCGTTATTTTCGAATGTCGATTCTTCGATGGTGGCAATGGAGTTGTCGTTTTCGCTTATCACCGGGGTTTCGGCGTAAGGTTCATTAGAATCACGTTTTGTGGACTCGGGCTGAGGTTTATCATTACTATCGCTTTTATCAGGACTCGAAGCAACGACAGCGGACGTACTTTCCGATTTTATCTCCGATTTCGTCTCTTTGTTCTTGTTCTTGGACGTTTTGGGCTTCTCATTCAGCGTCTTGAGCTTCCCGCTTTTCGTCCTGTTCTGGAGGACGAGTTCGACCACATCAGGCATGCTCTGACTCACCGGCAGGGGCTCCCATCCGTCGAGACCTCCTTCAGCGTCCCCGCCTTGGCCCCCGGGCAGATGCACAGCCGCAGGAGGCTCAGGAACGTCCCGGGGCGCTGGTCTCTTCCCTTCGTCTGCGTCCGTCGCGGCGATGGCGGGGAAGGTCTTGACGACTTTGGGCTTCGGTTTGTTCTGGATCATGCTGAAGGGCTTCTGTGCGACGGGCTGCGGGGGCGCCCTCTTCTTCGGGAACAGGCTTAACTTGGGGCTGCGGAGGAAGGGGAGGGTTAGTGCGGAAGAGGACGTAAGTGTATCTACACATACACACACATATATATACATACATGCATACATACATACATACATACATACATACATACATACATACATACACACACACACACACACACACACACACACACACACACACACACACACACAACACACACACACATATATATATATATATATATATATATATATAATATATATATATATATATATATATATGTGTGTGTGTGTGTGTGTATGTATATATGTATGTGTGCACACATATATATGAAATATATCTATATCTATCTATCTA